ACTCAGCCTAATTAATCCATCTCTCGGTGACAAAAGGATCCCCACCCCTCCTTCCTCCGGCCCGTCCCATTGGCATTTTGGGGCAGAGGGATTCAGCAGGACCCCCGGGCACCCCTCCTGCCCTGACCCCTGCCCCCCCACCAGGGGAGCATCTGTGGATCGATCCGGGGCCAGCTGGCACCAGGGGAGAGGCGCAGGACTGACACCAACACAACCTTCTCCAAATAAAGTCGATCATCGTCATGTGTTTAGTTTATATGGCAGTAAAGAGTCACTGTTGGCTGGATTGCTGTTGTTATTATAGTGGGTTGCGTGGGTCTTCTAACATGTGGCCTGATGTGTTCGAGTGTGTGTGTTTGCATGAGTGTGGTACAAAGATGTAAGTGAATCAAATGATGCTCTGCAGTTGCACTTGGATGCAGCTAGGGGGCAGCATACAGCCACACCACCCCTCCCTCCTTTTTCTATCCTCTTTTCTTCAGCTGTGCCACACACACACACACACACACACACACACACACACACACACACACACACACACACACACACACACACACACACACACACACAGGTATTTAGTCATTCTCTGGGCTCAGAAAGAGAGAGCACATTGATAGTCCTCTCTATAATACATTAAACTTCTGCATTGTCCTTTTCTTTCATTTTACACATTGTCACAACCTCCCTGTCACCCTAATCCCAGCTACCCCCCTCACTTTCTCCCCCACACACACACACACACACACACACACACACACACACACACACACACACACCCTCCCCCCCCAACACACACACACACACACACACACACACACACACACACACACACACACACACACTGATTGACAAGCAGCATCCGGGGAAATAGAGCCAATCTCCATTGTTTGCTGTCCCTACTCAAATCTGTTGAAATGGTTATTCCATTCTTGCGCCGGGGTATTTGCATATCCTTAAGTATTTCCTATTTTCAAGATCCCTCTCCCCCTTCTCCTCCCCATCCTCCTTTTTGCTAAATCCCCTCTTCTTAAGTGTTTGGTGCATTTAGCAAATCCATTCATAACGTATCTCTATGCACTATTAGCTTAGTGTAATGGCGAGGGTGTAATCTGCAGAGAGTTCTTTTCCCATCTTCCTCTTCTCTTGAAGGGCTGTTCTTTTGACAAGCTGGGGTTGCTGGTGGGGCGATGATACGTCATTACGTTTCCCATCTAAAGTGACAAGGCCCAAATGTCAGCACGAAATGTCAAGTGGCCTTCGCTACTCCTTCGCTCGATTTCTTCTGTAGTTTTTTTATTTAATTATTGGTCTGAGTATGGAGCGAGGTGGGAATGATGGAGAGAGATTGAAGGATGGAAAGGCAAGAAAGAAACAGAGGGATAGAAGTTTCAGATTCTGATCATTTCTGCCAGGTCCATTAGAAGTTTTAGGCCTCGTCTAAATGCACCTGGAAACTAGCTTTTGAGAACTGTATTTCTTCGGCTGGCCTGGTATTCACACTGTCAACCTTTCATTGACAAAAATGCTTGTGAGCCCACATGCCATCTGGGTGAGCTGTTCAGCCTGTAACTCTCAATAAACACACACATTTACTCAGGCAATTGGGCCTTATCCTTGTTGTTGAGTCCTGACATATTTATGAATACATATTTAGAAAATAACTTATTGAATACACATTGATAAGTAATCACAAATGTTGTTATCAAGATTTTCATCACATGTTTTCTCAACAATTGAGGTAACGTGTAGCTGCCTCTTGAATATTTCTAGCCACAAAAAACGACATGTATACATGCTTTGTGACCTAAGATTTTCATCGTCATAACTACATTGTAGCTATGTTCGTATGAACAATTAAAGCCTTTAATCGCACACATAATAAAGTATATGATTATGATATATATTATTTATTTAAGTAAACAATCACATGCAGTGGTGTGTGTGTGTGTGTGTGTGTGTGTGTGTGTGTGTGTGTGTGTGTGTGTGTGTGTGTGTGTGTGTGTGTGTGTGTGTGTGTGTGTGTGTGTGTGTGTGTGTGTGTGTGTGTGTGTGTGTGTGTGTGTGTGTGTGTGTGTGTGTGTGTGTGTGTGTGTGTGTGTGTAGTGTGTG